CCTCTGTCTGTGGTCACGCTTCAAGTTCTCTCCACATCCGCTGTGGTTTCCACACACAGCCTGGGCACCTACCTCATAGAAGACACCCATCAATTCCAGAGCAGGTCTGCTCTCGTGGGACTGGCCATCAGAGGCTGGGACAGGAGGGCCATGCTACCGTAGCTAATAACTCTGGGAATTCTTGCCTTTTTGGAAGCACCCCTCACAGGTCTGGCACTGGGCTGTTTACCATCTTCATCATTTCATAAAGCCTCATCGTCACCCTATGAGTGGGTATTATTATGAACTCTGCTCTAGAGATGTGTGTAGACGGTTGAATGGTAGAAAGATAGGTCTGCGTCCCAACCCTGGAACCTGTGAATGTGACTTTCTTTGGAAAAAGAGCCTTAGATGCCATCGAGTTAAGGACCTGAAGATGATTTCATCCTGGATAATCCAGGTGGGCTCTAAATCCAGGGACAATTGTCCTTATAAGATAGACACGGAGACACAGAGGGGAGAAGGGCATGTGACAACGGGGACAGAGATTGGAGGGATGCAGCCCCAAGCCGGGGAAAGCCTGAAGCCATCAGATGCTGGGAGAGGCAGGAAGGCTTCTCCCCGAGAGCCTCCAGAGGGAACACGGCTCTGTCCACACCTTGATTTTAGACTTCTGGCTTCCAGAACTGTAAAAGAATAAGTGTGTTGTTTTAAACCCCCCAGTGTCTGGTAACTCACTGTGGCAGCCTCCAAACACTAATACAATGTGGAGATTGGGGGTCAGAGAGAGTGAGCGAGACCACGCAGCTCTTAAGTGCTGGGTAGCCTGCCGCCCTGATTATGAGACTGGTTTTTAGAAAAGTGACCTCATTTCCATCCAGGAGGACAGGAGCTCCCAGGCCCAGGCAATTTCCCTGCAAGATGCCCTCCCGGGAAAGTCTCGTTTCTGACAGCGGCTTCGGGAGATTTTGTAGCACAGACAAGAATCTCTGGGCGCCCCAGGCGGTGTGCGAATAATCACATCGGCTGCTTTTACTGACCACTTACCATGGGCAGGGCCGTGCTCTAAGTTTTTTACAGACGTACGTTAAAATGGTGAATATGATGTTATGTGTATTTCACCTCAATTTTTAAAAAGAGCCGGCTGGAAAGCGGAGAGGCAGGGATGCCTTGTACCAGGTTCCCTGATGTGCCCACCCTAAACACACGGTGTCTCAGTGGATCCCCCCGGGAGGAAAGTATTGTTCTCACTTCACAGATGGGGACAACAAGGCTCCTGGGGTTCTCGTTCCCTTCCGGGCAGCAAGGAGGGTAACTGGGCATGAATCCCGGGCTGTCCTGGCTCCGGAGTCCAGGCCCTTCCCCTGTCAACACGCCAACCAGCAGGAAGGCGAGGTTCTTTGCTTTTTGGCTGAAAAAACCCTCACCCTTTCTTCCCTGCTTTTCCGTCCTGGTCCCACTTTGGCCCCCTGATGCCAGCCCTCTACCTGCAGTCACCAGCAGCCCAACGGTGGCTTTGCTTAACTGAAATCATTGGGAAGGTACTTCATAAACGGGTCCTGGTTGAAAATTTTTCAAAAGATGGGGCCTGGGGGTGCAGGTGGGAGGGGGAACGGGACGTCTGCTCCCTATGCCGTGAAGAGACAGGGGCGGGCCGGGGCGTCGCCGGTCTCGGTGGGCGCTGAGCTTGTGGGAAGGAGGCGAGAGCATCTCCGGAGTGTCCAGCCCTGATGGAAGGCACGAGGGCAATGGCGCCTCTCAGCTCCTGGTTCAGCTTTCCGGGGGCTGATTTCCCTGGGGAAAGCGAGGCTCGGGGCAAGAGCCCGGGCCTGAGGTTTCCCCGCCCCCCACTCCGGTGCTTCCCCTTGGACCCACTCCGTTCACTCCTTCGAGACAAGGGCCTCTGCGCCTGCGTGAGCTCTCTGGGGCTGTTGCTCACGCTCTGAAACAGTGGGTGGAGCTGATTCCCATGGAACCTCCCACACCAGTGCTCGCCAAGCTTCTCTGGGTCACGGCCCCTTGCAGGTCTCTGAAGGAAATGGGGGCCAGCAGGGGGTTCTGTATGGGTCCAACTCTGCAGGAGACTCTGGGGCCCCAGGGGACAACGTCTCAAAATCAGCTACAGGGTGTTTCAAGATGCAGATTCCCAGGCTCCACCTACTGCATCAAAGCTTCTGAGATTTTGCTTTCTCCCCAAGGCCACCTTAAGGTCCCCAGACTAGGTCTTCTTACTCCTGTGCTTCTCTAAAACACATTCTTAGGGGCGGCTGGAAGGTCCACCCTCAGAAGAGCCAGGGAAGGGATTCATGAGGCCTTTGCCTTTTCTGCTTACAAAGTAGACCCAAACAGGCTGCCGCTGGGCTGGGTGGGAAGACAGACCCGGGGCAAGGTCAGTGCCACCTTCCATATAGCCAGCTGCCCTCGGCCTGGGCTTTTCTGGCAGGAACATCCCCTCTGCCCAGGAATAGCATTATCAGACCAGCAGCTGTTCTCTGGCCCAGGAAGAAAAGTTCCAGAGAAGCGTTAGCTTTCTCTTTTAGAAAGAAAGAAAGAGAGAGAGAGAAAGAAGAAAGAAAGAAAGAAAAGAAAGAGAGAGAGAGAGAGAAAAAGAGAAAGAGAGAGAGAAAGAGAGAAAGAAAGAAAGAGAGAGAGAGAAAGAAATAAAAGAAAGAGAGAGAAAAAAAAAAAGAGAGAAAAAAAAAAAAAAGAGAGAGAGAAAGAGAGAGAGAAAGAGAGAGAGAAAGAGAGAGAGAAAGAGAGAAAGAAAGAGAGAGAAAGAAGAAAGAGAGAAAGAAAAGAGAGAGAAAGAGAGAGAGAGAGAAAGAAATAAAAGAAAGAGAGAGAAAGAAAGAAAGAGAGAAAAGAAAGAAAGAAAGAGAGAGAGAGAGAGAGAAAGAAAGAAAGAGAAGAAAAAGTCAGAGCCCCACGGAGGGCTCGGAGGGCTGAAGCTGGGACAGGATTCTGTTGGGTACACCAGGAGGATGCCCGGGCAGTCCTGCCCGGCGGCAGCTGAACCCCAAGAAACCCTCAGAGTGCCCTGAGCGGCTTCCTCCAAGCTTACTAGGCCAGGACATCATTTGTTGATTCTAGAGCCCAATCCCTAGCTCATGATTTCCTCCCTGGTTGCCATGGCCCCGCGCAGAAAACACAGCAAACTCCTGGCCCCAGGCAGCTCATTTATTTCAAATATTCCTTGCAGCTGGCCTCCAACCATGTTTGGGTGTCTGGACTGGAGCATGAACTAATTGCTCTGTCTTCGGCCCCCTCCCCAGCTCCCCCTGCATACTTTATGGTTCAGTAAGTCCACATTCCTCGTCTCGCCGCGGAGGAGCTGGAGGGCGGGCGGGTGGGAAGCCGTGTGCGGGAGATGGACGGCAGAAGGAGGGGGCTCTTGCCATCTATGGCAAAGCCAAGAGCCTGCTACCTGCTCGAAGGCAGGGTATTAATTACAACCACATGGGCCAGTCTGCACGGTGGTTTTATTAAGACCACTCCCTTCAACATAAAACCCTGCTCCCCTAGAAGTCTCCCAGCAGCACAAAGGCCCTCATTTTCCCTGTGCTTCTACTGCCGCCCCCTGCCCTGCCCCCCCGCCTCACCCTTCTCCTCCCCCTGCCACCCCCTCGTAAGCAAGCCGGAGTTCCAACCCAGACATGAACTCCAATCTAAAAATAATTTCAGCCCCCCCCACCGCTTTTCCTCCCACTGCATGTGGGGAAGGCATCTAGGGGTCCCTTTTCTCAATACGCACCTTGATCTCTGGAGACTTTACCTGGGAAGAAAGAGTATTTGTCAGGAGGTTGGTTGAGGAATGTTCGGTTCATTCTCAGAGACCAATTCCAATCCGGGAGCTGCCATTTTCCAGAAGTGCAGGAGCTAGGAAGGCATTTGTTCGCATGCCTGTTAATAGGCCCGGCCCTGTTCTAAAGCTTTATTGCGCTCTTGCTCCCCTCCTCCAAGGTGGGCACTACGGTGACTGTCATTTTGCAGAGGCTCATCCCAGATCACACGGCTCGTGAGGGTCACAGCAACACTGGGACCCAGGTCTGACTCAGGAGGCCACGTGCCCCTCGCAGGTCCAACCCAGCCATACACCGAAAGAATTTCCCTTTACCCTGCAACTTTTCCAGAGGCAGAGCTGACACGGTGGCCAAAAGTGGTCTCCAAACTCTCTTAGACAAGGTCACTTGGGGAGTTGGAGAAAACTGCACATTCCTGGGCCTGGCCCCAGAAATGTTGATTCAGTCCATCTCAGGCAGGGCACTGAGACGAGCATCTTAAAAAACACCTCCCAGCTGGGGCTGACGCAGGTGGCCTGAGGAAAGCTGGCCAGGAGGCTCTCAGAGAAAGGGACACGGGACCTTGGTGCCAGGGGTCTTGGGCCCTCAGACCAGGGTCCTTTTCCCAGCACCACCAGATCCTGACATGCCTTTAGAATTTAAAGTGCCCACAGGGAGCTGAATGCACTCGTTAATTCTTTGGAAACCAGTCATGGATCATATCTAGTAAACCTCTTGACTCTTCACTTTATCACTCGCCAATCCTCTAAGCCGGAATTTCCTGTCTTCTCTGCTGGGGTGTGGAGTGGGGGGACTCTGCCCACAGCAGCTGGCAGAACGGGTTCACTCAGCATCCCTGTGCACTTGGCTCTGGGGACACAAAGACGAGTGAAGGACCACCTCCTTCCACTGAGTGCCCAGCGCTTGGGCTCCGAGCCCACATCTGGGCTCCAAAAAGCCCAGCAACTCAACGACAAGCCAGAGGCACTTGCTGATGTGCAGAGCCCTTTCTACTAGGTCAGCAGTTCCCTTACTCTGAGCTGCAGGCTCAGAAACTTCTGAAAAAGGATGGGGATGGTCTAGGATCACCCCTCTGGGATTCTCGTTCTCCTCCATCTGGGGCTCCAGCTGGCATCTCACCCTCTGCTAAGGGGTCGGGCGGGGGGAACCACCCAATTATCTGTTGAAAACCATGGACCCGCCCTTTTCCCTTCCCCCAAAGCACAAAGAGGGATTCCGAAGTGTTTGTGTATTTTAATAAACTTTCCTTTATTAGGTGACTATTATCAACCATCATAAAATAGAACGGGAGTTTCAAAACTGTACAGGCCACAAGGCTCCGGGCTGAGAGGAAAGAAGGGTGGGGTCGAGGCTTAGGGAGCTGTGGGGGCGGGAGGTGCAGAGAGATGGCAAGGACCCCGGTGATTTGTCCAGCGTCTGTGGGAGACGGCTGGGTCAAGGCGATAAGGCTGGGATCTGTATCAGTGAGACCCTCTCGTGTGTAACATTCATCAGGACATGACCCACCCCGAAACAGGAGTGAGGAAAATCTTTAAAAGTCTTACAGGTTAGGTTCCCCCCACCCGCTGGGGGACATAAAACCTCCAAATAATAAGGGGGTAATTTACATTCCTCACCCAGTCTTGGCACTAATTTTGTGCTTTAAAAAATATACTCCACTGGAAGACTTTTTTTCTTTTTTTTCAAAAGGTGCCCTAGAGCAGCTGTTTAAAACACAATTCTTACAGACAAATATATATGCATATATATTAAACATTTTAAACAAATAAAGTCATCTACTGTACCTGTACAGAAATGAACAGAAGGCGGATTCTAAGAGAGTCGACTTCAAGACATAAGAAACGGTGACTGTGCCGGCAGGTGCTGGGGTCTGCTACGTGGGGGAGGTGTGCATGGGAGGGTGCGTCCCTCTCCTGCTGGCTGTCCGCCCCGACCCCCTGCCCCACCTCACGGCTCTGGGGCACCGTGATGAACCCGGACAGGGGCACCGAGCGGAGACCTGCACTGGCTTCTAGGACACGCAACTCCGCTCTGGTCTCCCCCACCCCGCCCTGCCCCCGGCCTCTCAGGGGATGGAGACTCACTCATCCTCCCGTCTCGGTTCGGGTGGTCCTCAGGGAAGCTAGAGCTTCCGGGGATGCACGTGGCAAATCTCAGGTAGGAAAGCAAAAACAAAACCCAACCCACACCGAAAAACCTCACAGAAGACTAAAGAAATAAAACCACGCGCAAAGACGGATGAGCCCTAGCGATGGGTGGCTGCCTGGAGAGATACGGGGAGCTGCCACTGCCCGTGCAGACGGGTCCTCCAAGGCACTCATATTGCACGTGAGGCTGATGTCCCCTCAGGGGCCTACTCGGGCACTCGGAGCAGAGCCCCCTGGAAACTGTAGGTCAAGGGACCCAGACAAAGACACCCCTGTGCCCACGTGGGGACACATGACAGACACGACCCAGCGAAAAGGCCAGGTGAGGCACACACATCCCAGGGAGGGGCAGGTGGAAGAAAAGCAACAGAACACTCCAGAGAGAGGTGACCCGAACAAGGTGTCCTTTCTAAGTGGAATAAATAAATGGCTTTTGTTATTGTTAAAAGAATAAATACAGGGTACGGGGGCACCGACAGCCAGGACTAATGCTGGGTGCTCACGTGCCTGGGGAAGGTCCCGGTTTGGTTTCTGCCTCGGTGGCCACGGTGAGCTCCTGACGTCCTGAGCTTCGTCCGGCGCGGCTGCCCCGCTGGGCGGGCACCGGCCCTCATCTAAGCACCTCTTAGCACCCCCGGGATCTGCTCTTGGCGCCAAGGGACCCGGCAGGTGCGGGGGCACCCAGGCCACCCCGAGAGCAGATCGGAGCGCAGTGTAGTTTATCCTCTGTGTCCTCTTCCCAGGAGGGGCTGTGAGGCGGCATGCGGGGAACTTCTGCCAGTGTCCGGAAGGGGGACAGAGGGGCCCGTGTCCGGAGCAGTCCGTGTCCGGCGGGGCAGCCGGGGAGGCTGCAGAGGAAGGGCAGGACTTCCATGTCGCAGACGCCGGTCCAGGGCGTGGGCACGGCGGTGGCTCAGTGAGTTGGCACCGGGGTGGCCGGGGGCGGCCGTGCTGGCGGTCCCGGGTGGGGCATCACTGGTAGTGGAGGTAGGCCTTGAGGGAGGCGGGCAGTGGCAGCGCGTGGATCTCACCCAGGCGCTCCTTCCCCAGGGCCAGGCGCACCGAGCGGCGGCACAGATCCATGAGCGGCAGGGGCTCCGCTGCGGAGACCGAGGAGAGACAGAGGATGCTGGGTTAGCACAGCTCTTGGTGGTTCTAGAACAAACAACACTGACAACAGCAATAGCATCGTTAATACTAGTTTTAACGCCCAGATGAGATGACTCCAGATTAACTCATTTTACACTTTAAGTGAATTATTAGTTGCTAGCATGGAAACTCACTGGACCAGGCCCCTTTGTAAGCCCTCATTTAATCCTCACAGTGGTTTATTATGAATGATTTGATAATCACAGGGAGTTATACCATGACCATCATCCCCATTTTGCCAATGAGGAAACTGAGGGACAGAATCCAAATAACTTGCCCAGGGCCACACCACTGGTAGGACACGGAGCAAGCATTCCAAGCCAGGCCGTCCCTGCTCTAACCCATCAAACTAGAGGCCCCCTCAGTGCACGTCCATCCGGGACACACAGGATGGACTCTCCCCTGCACGTACCCCCAGCACCAGACCCCACGCGGACCTTTAGGAGGGAAATCATGTTGTGTTAACCCAACTGCTCACGGGGACTGTTCTCCAGTCCCTCTTACAGCTGAGGGCGCTCAGGCGCAGAGGAGACCGAATTGCCAGGGCTACAGGCTGGGATCCAAATCCCAGCAGTCTGGGCCCAGCGCACGGCAGAGCTGCCTCAGGAATCTGAATTCGAGAAGGGCTTCTAGCTGCAGCCTGCAAGGGCACCTCTGGCCTTGTGTCCCGGAGGGCCTGGGGCCTAGCTTCCTGCAAGAGAGGCTCCGTGCAGCCTGCATCTCAGATAAATTCTCAGCTCCAGAAGGAACCGGAAAGTCATGGCCTCCAAGGCCCTGGAGGCTGCTGGGAGCATGGTGGGCCCTGCTCACCCTGGACCTCTTGGAGCTGACTCCTCCTAGCTCTCGTACAGGTGAGCACACCGAAACAGCCTGGGGTCCCCCCACGGTGTCCTGGACAGGCAAAGAGGTGAAATGAGGGCATATGTGGCCTCATCCACGGTCTCCCCCAACTCCTTTGTGAACAAAATAAAGGTCAGACCGAAAAACTGAGAAACCCCCCACCATTTCCCTTGAGATCCCATTCCACCAAGAAAAAGTGGACGCAAGTTCTGTAATATTCACCAGTGTGTCTCCGAATATTAAAAATAACATTTAAAAGTTCAGTTATTGGGAATTCCCTGGCGGTCCAGTGGTTAGGACTTGGTGCTTTCACCACCGAGGGCTTGGGTTCAACCCCTGGTCGGGGAACTAAGATCCCGCAAGCCACGTGGCTCAGCCATAAATAAATAAATAAAATTAAATTAAATTAAATAATTAAAATTCGGTGATTGAAGGCCAAATCCTAAGCCTGGGGGCGTTGGGGGAAACGGGGAGCAACTGAGTAGGGGCTCCGTTTGGGGTGATGAAAGCATTCTAAGATGGCCTGCAGCAATGGCTGCAGTCGTGAGCATACAGTGGACCACTGCATCATGCGCTCTAACGGGTGAAATGTATGGCATGTGAATTCTATCCCAATAAAGCTGCCATTAAAAAAAAACAAAATGTGCTTCCCTGGTGGCACAGTGGTTGAGAGTCCGCCTGCCGATGCAGGGGACGCGGGTTCGTGCCCCGGTCCGGGAGGATCCCACATGCCGCGGAGCGGCTGGGCCCGTGAGCCATGGCCGCTGAGCCTGCGCGTCCGGAGCCTGTGCTCCACAACGGGAGAGGCCACAACAGTGAGAGGTCCGCGTACCGCAAAAAAAAAGAAAAAAAAAAAAGAAAACATCTTAGGCTTGATAGTGCATTTACTAAATTCCAGGCTTTAAAAGAAGACAAACGATGGCTCTTCACCTCCCATGGGCAGTCACAGGAGACGGGATGGAAGTAGTAAATGTTTTTCATGGAAAGCTTTGAAACGGGGCCTTCCCTGGAGGCAAGAGGATGAACTAAATGACCTTCCATCTTTGTGGGTCAAGGGTTCCACAGACCTGGTGGGTTGGGCTGGGATCCTTCCACCTGCCAGCCCGCAGAGACTTGGGTCTCCTTCACTGGACCTCGACCTACCTCGGTGGCCCCAGATCTGGCCCCTCACTTTCACCCTGCACAGCAGCCTGACCTCGAGCAGATGGCTCCCTCCACCCAGGCCTCAGTTTCCCCAGCTGGAGATGAAGGATGTGGACCAAAGCCTCCCCGGAGTCCTACGGGCTGAGCTCCTGAAGGCCAGCGACGCCTCACAGCAGCTCTCGGCCGGACCTGTGGTTGAGGAGTGAGTGGTCCTCTGAGCAATCGAGGGGGGAAGTTCAGCTCCTCTCCTCCACTCAGAAGCTCTCCTCCATCCTCCTCCGGCACCCCCTCCCACAAGGATGTGGCTTAGCTCCCACTGGGAGACAGAGGGGCCGGGCTGGGGGAGGGAGGGCCGAGAGGGAGGTCCCGTCACCACCTCTTGGCTAAATGGGTTTCGGGTCAACTTACCAACACCCTCAGGAAGAAACGTTTCTAAACAGCAGGTCATTCCCACCCCACCGCCACTGATCCTGCGGGAGGGCAAAACAGCGATGGCCAGGGTCATGGTCTGATTGCAGAGACCGTGCGTGAGGCTACAGAAACGGACATGGGCACGGTGCCAAGGAAAACGTCTGTCCCACAGATTTTGGTTGGTCGCTCACAGGACCCAGAAGGCCTCCCCGACGACCTCAGTCCTTTCGCCTGGGGGGCTGCAGGTTCTGCATCCGGCTCCATCCGCGTGGTCGGTGCCCACCGCTCTTCCGCGGAGGCGCGAGGGGTCTCTGGCCGCCACGCCCACCTCTGGGAAGCCCAGGTGCCCGCTCCTGTGCATGGTTTATATGAATGAGAAGGGGTGGTGCTCAGGGACCAGGAAGCGAGGCCGGCGCTATTCCTGGGAGCAGAAGGTTGAGCAACTGCACGAGGCCACGCGCCCACGTCTATATCTCCAGGAGAAGCGGCCACCTGGTGGCCTGTTTGAACACGCACGGCCGGGGCCACCTCTCAGTTCTCCAAGAGACTGCAACCCAGCCGGAGCCCCAGAGCCCGGCGCCGGGTCCAGTTCACAGGCTGTGAATGAACTTCGGGTCTGTGAGGTCAAGGATGAACATCTCAAGTCAGGAAGTGCCCGGTTCAGCAACGTTCCCGCCCGCCGCCTTCACAGCTGCCGGGACTGGACCTATGCTCCCTCCTGCAAGCAGTTTGCCGTGAAAACGCTCCAGAAATGTGTTCTAGAAAGTCGTGGGTGGAGGATGACCATCCCGGGACCTGTGTGTATCTTCCCTTTACCTCAAGGCGTTTTTACAAAAAAGAAGCAAAAGAAAACACCAACCCCTTGTCTTTGCCAACTGGGGAAGGATGCCTGACACCCGGTCAGGTAACGTGGGCACACTTGGTTCTCTGCCTCCCAGTTCTGAGAACATGCTGTCTTCATGTGACCTCCCCCCCACCCCAGAAGGAAGCCCCTGCAGGGCAGGGTGATCAGTCCCCCCGATGAGGAGCTCGCCCAGAGCCCAGCTGGAATGGGGGAAGGAAGGAGCCAGCGTCAGGTGTGGGCATCCCAGGAGGCTGGGAGGCCACAGGAGGAGGTCACCAAGGCAAAAAGCAGGAACAGAGGTGGGCCTTCCCTGAACCCACAGTCATGACGAACCACACCAAATGTATCTGGGAGCCAAAGAAAGGGAGAATTTGAAAATGCTGAACTGCAGGGCAATGCTTCCTTAGTGGGAGGCACCATTAACAGCAGGAGGGAGGACCCACGGGTCAGGGACTCTCCCTTGTGTGACGGCCAGTCTGTTGCTTGCAATAGGCCTTTTCCCTCTTGCATCTCCAGGGAGCGTGGTGGGCAGACCTAGGGGCCAAGCTGGGCCCTGTCCCCCCCGCCTACAGTGACCATCACTGCCCCTTCACCCCAGAAAAGAGCAAAGTGACACAGCAGCCCCTCTGGTTGCAGCCTTAGTCCTGGAAGTCTTGAGCCCCTAGAAAGAGTCAGAACCAGTAGCCTGTGATCAGAGGCGGTTGGACAGTGGTGGAGGTCACATAGGGACACGCTGCCTTTGCTCTGGCCTCGGCCAGCTCAGCCCATGGCCCCAGCACTGGGGCAGAGACTCTGCGGGGGAGGGTACACCTGGCATCCCGGGGAAGGCGGGCTGGGAGGACAAAATGCCCAGCGCAGCAGCCGGGGTGGAGGGGAGGGGGCCGGGCACAGGCCTCTGGTGACTCGGGCTGACCCGCTCTGCAAACAGCTGCTCCCTGCTGAGGTCAGGACCTGGCGGCCGGGATGGGGTGGGGCTGGGCGGGGAAGGAGAGAGCAGATTTTCCAGACAACCCAGGGAGCACTAACAGGTCAGAATCACCCCCAAGACTGTGAGAGCAGAGCCCGGCCCAGGCCTGACACCAAGAAGATGTATCTGGCCAGACCTTCTGTCTGTCACTGCCTGCTCCCGCTGGGTGGACCCTGACATTCCTCATCCCTCAGCTGCAGCGGAAAGCCAAGCAAACCCTCCTGGGCAGAGGACTTGGGTGTCCCTGACTTCACTCCACAGACACTCCACCATCTGAGCGCTGGGCTCTGTCTGTCACTGTCTCGTCTCCCCTGCAGGTGGTAGCACAGGGAGGGGGACGTGCTGTGGGTGAAGTAGCACTGCCCCCCCCACCCAATTCAGGACCATCTGGAACCTCAGAATGTGATCTTATTTGAAACAGGGTCCTTGCAGATGTAATTGGTTAAGCAGAGGTCATATTGGAGCAGGATGGGCCCTGTCCTTATAAGAAGAGGACAGATACAGAGGAGGTCACGGGATGACAGAGGCAGAGACTGAGCGATGCGTCTACAAGCCAAGGCGTGCTGGCGTGGGACGGACTCCCCTCCGAGCCCTCAGAAGGAACCGACCCTGCCCGCGCCTTGGTTTCGGACACCTGAACCGGCACAGAACACACTTCTGTTGTTTTAAGCTCCCCAGCTGGCGGCCATCTGTTCCTGGGGCCCCAGGAAATGACCACACCACCCTCCTCTCCTCTCTACACCAGCCCCTCCCTCAGGCTTTTGGACCCACCCCATCCTGACGACCCTCGTCAAGGTCACCAGTGATGACCTCATTGCCAAAGCTGATGGACAAGTCTCGGCCGTGAGTGTACTTGATCTGGCATCACTGTGGCCTTGAAGTATCCTTTCCTCACTGGGTGCTCAGGACAGTACTCTCCCCTCCAGCCCCACGGCTATTCCACCTCCCCTTCCCCATCGTCCACCCGGTGACGCGCCCCAGGGCTCGGCCACGGCCCTCTCCTCCTTCCTCTCCTTGGTGACCTCATCCAGGGGTTGCAGGTTTCAGCTCCATCCCCACTGACCAATGTCCTGGACCCTGTCTCCAGACCCGCAGAGCCACCAGGATGTGTCACTTCCCCGCATCCATGGCACCCACCCTGGCCCTCACCCCCATCACCTCTCCCCTGGACAACGTCTCGGCTCCTCCCTGACCTCCAAGCGGCCACTCTTGACCCTACTGTCCATTTCTACACAGGAGCCAGAGTGACCCTTCTAGGACATGAGATCTAACGTCCTGAGTGGCTGGGGATCCTGCCCCACCCTCACGGGGTTTCCCATCCGGATCCTCCAAAGTCAGCCAGCAGCGCAGACTGGGGCTCTTTCATGTCTGACCAGGAGCGGGGAGGCGAGAAGCCAAGGGGGGCCCCGGCACTGCCTGGCACTATGGTGGGGAGAGAGGGGCGTCCTCATTCGTAACCAAGACTGTCAAGGGGGCCCAAGCCTCTGGGCACTTCCGGTTGCCCCCTGCCCCCGGGTCCAGCGCAGGGGTAGCCTCTCGTAGTGCATGCCCATGCTACTCCTCTCCCGCTCAACCCCCTTTTAAGTTTCCCAAACAAGAAAAATTGCGAAAGCATCTGACCTCCCATCTTATGCAGAGCTGATGGGGCATCTACCGATGACGCCCGTCTGGGCCTCCAGGACTGTTTCCACAGAATTGCTGCAGAGCCTCGCCCTGGATCCACAGGGGAACAGTTCTGCTTGCTCGTGCCCTGACTTGCCACGGGGGGAACAGGCCCCAGCCCCCTCCCAGCCGCTCCGGGCTCTGTGTTCTGCCTTGGAGCTGGGCATGTAAACAGTGAAGCCGTGTGAACCCCCGGCACTGATGGACTTGTTTCCAGAGGGGACAGGGTTGCCCTGTTCTTGTAGAGGCCAACAGTCTCAGAGGCCTGGCAACAAGGCAGCGGACCCAACAATTCACCCATCTGTCGGCACACAGTGGGCATTAAACTCCCTGGGGCCGTGGTCACTCTCTGTTGGGAAAAGGCAGACAGAGCTGCAGGCAGGGTCCTCTGAGACCCTAGGTCCTGGGGCTTCCAATCCCTGCCCATCCCCACACGGGGCAGATGTGGCTGTGGACCTTCTACCCTGTTACCTGGAGAGACAAGACTCACAGCACTCGCCCTGCTGGTTCCCTAGACCAGGTCTGAGGTTACTTCCTCAGAGAGGTTACCTGCTGGATGCACACCTAGCCACCCCTGCCAGGAGTCCCAGGACCTAGGGTGCAGGCTGCACAGGTGAGGCGATGCCCCGCCTGGCTGTGGGCTCACTGTCACGGCCCAGCCAAAGCCTGAGGGTGGCAGCGAGGGAAAGAGGGACGGCAGAGGCCTCCAAAGAGAAACATTTTAAGAGTTCGCTCTGACTGATGGTCCTGGATGTTTTCTGCTATCTTCCAAAGACTAAAGTGGGGAAGAGGAAGAGTGGGGGAACCTGAAGGTTTGGAGGCTGCAAGACCAGAGGAAGCATCTGTGCTCCTGACCCTCGGCCTCCCCCATGGCTCACCTGGCCTGCAGGTGGGGTTAGATCTCAGGTGCCAGGCCATATCCACCCCTGAAAGAGGTCAGTGCATGGATGGACGAAGCTTTCCAGCCCACCCCCTTTCCAAGGTGAGATCTGCAGACGGTAGAAGGGACTCATGAAGGAGTGAGGGTTGAGCATGGGTATGGACAGTTCTGGAACGCTGGGGCCTCCTGCCACCATGGGCTCCCAGCCACAAAGCCACAGAGCCCTCCGCTTCCCAAACCAGGGCAGTGCTGCCACAGGTAGGCTATTTTCACACGTGGTCTGAGAAAGGCCACTCCCTTTTCCAAAGGGACAGGTGCAAATTGCCACTGAATCAGCCTGTTTCTAATCCATGTTCTCCTCTCCAAAGGCCTCCTGACATCATAACTGAACAAACCCCCTGCGGGGGACTGTGTCCCAAAGAAGCCCACTCAGAAGGCTCCAGCACCAGGAAAGACCCTAAACCTGTCTAATGAATGAGAGGCCATTGGCTTTCATTTATGTGAGAGGCCCTAGTACCCCCAAAGCTGCAAAACCCAGCTCAATAATATGCTGGTTACTGTGCTAGAATGTGGTCAGCTGCAGATCAAACCTGGAGGCAGGTCAACCAGAAACAAACCATGTTTATCAAAGACCATCCATCCACCCATCCACCCATCCATCCATCCATCCACCCACCCACCCATCCATTCACTCCTTTAGTCATCCATCCACCCATCCA